ACAACATTTAAATGCATACATAATACATTGTCATTTCAAATATTTCACAGGTGAGACATCAAACCTAAGGCAGTCATTGCGCAATGAATTAAAAACCTGTCAGACTCAAATATTTCATGATATTCGCATGATGCTGTTATTCTTTACCTCGACATTTTCGTTTCGTCTTCAGAGACATTTCAACTTTATATGATGTCAATCAACTGTGCATATTTGGTGTTTAATTATAGCAACGTAGAGACATTGTTATACTGGCGAGAAGACATTCGCGTGAGTAGGACAAACTTATTTTGTTAATAATAATCATGTTAATGATTATTATGATGATGGTAACATAAATATAAGTTGACAAATTATATGTGTAAAGAACAATTTTCGATATCTACCATCTGTACATATATCCTCCCCAACAGTAGATTTCGCATTCTTTACCTCCATCTTTCTTTGATAGTTCAAACTCTGAGAATATGACCAGGACACTTTCGGAGGAACACTAAATGCATTTTTCAAAAGTGTTATATTTTGAATAACTATGAATGCTTTTCCTGACTTTAAAAGTTTGGATACCTTTGATACCAATGTGGGCAATCGATCCCACATTTCGGGGTAAATAGACCGCCTCTGTGGTGTAGTGGTTAGAGCGTCCGCCCGGAGAGCGGAAGGTCGCGGGTTCGATCCCCGACCGCGTCATACCAAAAGACGTTAAAATATGGTACTTGTTGGTCCCTGCCTGGCGCTCGGCATTAATGGGTACAACAAGGACTGGTCGGTTCGGAGTCAGTATAATGTGTCTGAGTGGGATATTCATGCTTCACTGCGGCATGGTATCTCAGTGGGCTAGCACTATAAAACCAGCTTCAGTCTGGGCTAGTACAAGCAGCCGCACATACACAACCATGCACGTCGTCATATGAGCGAAATATTCTCAAGCACGACGTTAAACCCAATTTCACCTCACCTCGGGGTAAATAAGCCTCATATTTCAACTCACTTCTTCATACAAGAATCCTTGAGGGGCATGATGAAACTCTATAAAATAGTGTGTTGTGTTGATGTAACAACTGGAACACACGAACCTAATTCACGGCATGTCACAATTTTGATATCATAGATTCAGTGACAGTGACCATCTCCAGGATGGTGAGTGATTGGTCGAGCGCACGAGTGGAGCACTCAATGCTTCACGCGACACGGAATGCACACGAAGCACCCAATCATGAGTGTTCATTTGTGATATATAAATGCATACCCCTCTGAGTTCCGTCATAGAGAAATGCGTAAAATCTGTGCGATATTATTTTGCCAGAACAGCAAAAGAATATAGAAGAATCATCGTCCAGAAGTCTGAGAATTATGACTGACAGTAAGTTTGAATCATGATTTAATTACTGCATCTGTCGTTTGTTGTATACAGCCATTTTGTGTTATTATTTTCAAGACTTAATACAATTCGATAATTTGACCTTCATATCACCTGTGTGTTATTTACAGACTTATATTAGTTTTGCATATTCAATGTGTTAGTATTTGCACTGCACAGAAACAATTTAAAGTTGTTAAAATGTTACATTTGACCACTTTCTAAATGACATTGTGTAATCAATTTAAAGATAGTTAAAGATGTCCATTCATAAACGTCATATATCTCGTCATAAAATGTCTCTTCTGTAATAATCCAGAGGTGAATTCGGTCTTTTTTCACGTTTTGGTCGTCATACACATATTTTCAATATTTCTTGTTACCATGGATACAAGTTAAATTTAAACCAAATATTTACATTTCGTCAGTCAATAAACCAGAGTCGGCCACAGAGGGATGTTTGACTAACTGCCTACATTTATGACTGTTCTATCTATCTTAGATGATGGAATTTTCTCATTACATTGGGAATTTTAGTTACTCCTATTTCAACAAAATTATATCATTTAATTTGACCGAGGCATGGTGGCAAAGGTATTTAAGAGTGAATGTTAGTATGGAGAAATGTAGTCCACCGTGTTGTTGTTTAACACCGTATGTATTCGCTCTGTGTGATTGTGGATTTAACAGTAAAGGTAAGGTATTTGTGGCTTAATTTGTGTGTATAGCTCCACGCGACCTATTGAACAGGAGGTGTCTGCACAGGACGTCGACCCTTGAGTGAAATGTCACGGTTCAGTTAAGAAAAAAGGTCGACGTCTTGTTCATTTGACCTTATACCAATTAACAGGGGATTAGAAAAGACAAAGAAATAATCCAGTGTTTTCACAAGGCGATAATCCGGATTATGCGGTTGGGAGCACAGACAACAGGAGAAAAGTACTATATTTCGTCCATTTTACTTCGTATACAAAATCATCCAACATGAAGTAGGTGAGATGCACCATTTGCAAACTGTCTGGTTCATCTGAAAGATAATAAAAGTAGATTTATTATTTCTTTTTACACATTATTTTACACAGACCACGTTACACCACTCACTCTACTGCTATATATAAATTGTTAGAATTGTTAACAAAATACATTAAACGATAAGCAAAACATGGTCACGTACAGTATTCAGATCTGATATATCTATTTTACTTTTATTTTTTCCTTAGTAACATATTGATATTAGGCATTGACAAGATGCTTACCTTTATGTCAACATGTACATGGGGATGAGCATGGTCACCTTTCACCATCGTCACAATGTCATTGACAGTTGACGCAGTGAAATTACACTTCTTTTCCGTGCACTTCCAGGATATCCAGTTTCGCTTCACTCATAAATCCACCAACACACAGGTATCTTCCACCACGAGATGTAACTGTGCATTTGCCATTTCGAAATTGAATGCATTCTACCGCGAGTTCCTTTCCTAAATATGTTCATCATTGTGAAATTCACTCTCATATGTATGATAACATTGATGACATGTTGAGTGAACTATGTTCACGCCTTACGGGATGCTCCGGTTATGGAAAATCTTAAAACAACACCTACTAGCGAATTAGAGTGACTCTAGCAACACCTTCAACATCAAAGTTAACCGCGGGTCGACTTCGTGTCCATTGCGAAATTTCAAAAGGTCGACTTCTTGTCCGTTAACCGTCTTCGGCGTGACGAGCCAACGCTTTAACCATTAGGCTACCCCACCGCCCCTTGCCGTGACAGAGGCCAGGTCTGTGGTTCGATCACCTGGGCATTTTACTGTAAAACACATTAATGATTATACTCCAGTTGATTCCGTTGATCGACATCAAGAGAATAAAACAAGGGTTGTTCGGATCGGGGACGTGCACCTACACACTTACACACACGCACGCACGCACGCACGCACGCACCCACCACACACATACGCATTTTACCTTAACTGACATTTACGCATGACAGTGCTTTTTCTACTGATCGTAGTCACGATATGGCTGCAATATTGTCGATGTGACTTTAAATGTTAACTCACTCACTCACTCACTCACTCACTCACTCACTCACTCACTCTACTGATCTTTTTTCATTATTTAGATCCAGCATACATACATTTGCAAATAATTCTCCGACAGACAAGCTTGCGATAATACTGACACTCGGTCCCCCTGTCACCAACACTATGAGATAAACTAAACTGTTAAACTGTTGGTTCCGCTTTTGGGGGTAAAGTTCAGCAGCCGAACACGTCTCTCCTCTCAGCAATAATGTCCCGGTGTATATCTCTCGTGTGAAGTATTATACTGTGTTAACTGATTGATAATGTATATTTTGGCTCAGAACAACTTTATAGTGCATGCTTATCACAACTAGCTGTAATTCCGTAATACTTTTTAGTGAGTGGGTGAGTGAGTGAGTGAGTGAGTGAGTTTGGTTTTACGCAGCTTTTAGCAATATTCCAGCATTATCTCGGTGGGGGACACCAGAAATGGGCTTCACACATTGTACCCATGTGAGGAATCGAACCCGGGTCTTCTGTGTGACGAGCGAACGCTTTAACCACTGTCTACCCCACCGCCCCAAATCCTTTTTAAAGAAGCATTAATAAATATGTGATTCCGCCTTTTCACTGCCACCATCTCGATGGTTCGTTTCATATCCCAGGTTAGACAGAAGCCATGTGCAGCGTGAAATAAGAACACACACACATCATGTACCATAAATGCTCTTGGCGTTTCAGAAACGACTCCCTGTCTGGACGTGACGAAAATAACAAAGATAATGGCTTATGTGACATTATCCGTCTGGTTGACGAATTTACGCCTTCAGTTTGGAAATGAAACTTAAACTAGATGACAAGTTGCCCATTAACGCCGCATGACGATTCAATCTGGTGTCGTGCACCATCGACATGAATGGCCCACAGGTCGACCAACCCATACTCAAACATTACTTTGTTCGAGTCGATTCAGTTTCTTTCTGAATGAAGCAATTCAAACTTTTCCCATTAAACGATTCTCCTTTACTGTAAGTGTTAAAGCTATGGTTAGTGAGTGAGTTGGATTCATTCCGCGTACGTCAACAGTTCCGTGGCATTTGAGATGTACACTGCCAAGCTGCATATCTATACGTGTGGCCATTGACCATCATTATAGTCATATGAGTACGATATTTTAGAATTCACTTTTTAAATTTTGCATGATACCGTTACACTTTAAGTGATTGTTTTAAACTCACACGGCACTGTTAATCCTCGCGTGATACTTTAAAACTCAATACACCTAACTTTCCGCAATATTTTTAAACTTCACATTTGACTTTCAAAATGCTTTAAAACTTACGTAATATAAACTTTTGAAACGTTGACTTTTTGAAAGATATGTTTTGAAATGCACGTATTGAAAATTGGCCCTTACCCTTTCGAGTGTCGCATAATAAGCCAAGCTTGTTGTCAGCGTAAGAGGAAATGTTTATATTGTGTCCATTTTAGGAGCAGCTCCTTGTGACCTCTCAAATATGTCCCCAATTAAGTCCAATGTTAATGTCAGTCATACCAAGGGCAGTGTTAATAATCTTTGTAACTCCCACAAATGGAAGATCACGACCACGATGAAAGGACAACCAGGTAGGCTGATCGAACATCGATCATGATTGGTGATGTACAGCTCCTGGTATTGTTCTGTTAACTTGTTACTAACTCTTGTGTTTAGCCTGTTCGTATTTAGTGTTTTGTTTCTCCCCTCCCCATTGTCCTAAATATTCATTCTGACGTGAAATAAAAATGTTTTCTTATTTCATTTTTCCCGTCGCAAAACAAAACGTTCGTAGCGCTACGACATTCGTAAGCCTATGATACACTATAGAGTTACGACAGTTCGTAACGTTACGTACGCTTTGATGATCGGGACCCTTGGCCTTAATTTACTCAATTAATTTACACAATTAATGCCAAGGATGCCGATCCACAAAGCGTTCGTAGCGCTCATAACGTTACGAACTGTCGTAACTCTATAGTGTATCATAGGTTTATATTACGATACTACTACGATATTCGTAGTGCTACGAACGTTTTGTGGATCGGACCAGATGCGATAAATAAAATATGGTTATTTTTGCACACTCATAAACAGGTCACTCAATTTTTAAATACATTTATATTTTTCGTCCACCTTCTATTTTGCCGGCGAGGTTGAGGATGAGAAACATACAATATGGATGGTCTTAAAACAAGTGTGTTCTGAGTTGTTCAATGGACGTATATTCTATCCTACCCTTGTGCAAACTGGGTAAATTATAGACAGGATGATGCTTGTAATTTTGACTAAGCATCGTTGTTTTGTTGATGACAAGAAAACATTTGTACCAACACAGAAATAATACCTCTACACGATTATTATTAAAACAGTCACCAAATCATACCCGTATCTTACGTCAAGTACATGTACATGAAACAATCTACAAAACCATCTTAACGGTGGTCGTAATCCCCACACCTTAACATAGGCTTACGATCATCATAACAATAATAAGATTGCTTTGTGGAACCGGGCCTTGAGGAGAACAGCTATCCATGGAAATCGAGATGAAATAAGTAACTGTGAAAGTATAATTTTGTACCATTCATTTGTACCTTTAACCATAAACAGCTGTTGTTTTTTGACGACCAATGTATTGACACATTTTGTCGATTGATCTGCATTATTCGTGTTAAACCCAAGTGTTTGGAATCCTTCTGACATTGTCATGATGTGGACCTATTCAACCATCCTGTCTTTAGGACTTCCAGCAGCAACACACGTAAAACGGCCCAACGTAGATTTTCATTAGTATTACAAAGAAATCATGTCATATTTTATTACGTTTCTGGAGATGAATCACAAAAAAGAAACACAGATCTTGTGTTAACCGACAAGATAACATATTCTTTCAATTTTTAATTGTTTGTTATGAATTGTCACTCTTATATATAAGCATTTCCATGCTTCCACAACTTCGTTATTTAATATTTCAAAAGGGTAAAAATGTAACAGTTTTATCTGGCTCTATTTATAGAAATACAATAACAGTTATTAAACATATGCGGATCCTGATCTTTTTTGTCCTGAAAGTATATTAAATGACCATTCAAACTCTCGTGAAAACGGGTGAAAGTGAAATGTGAAACCCTTTCTCAAGTGTGTGAACCCCTTCCCCCGTTTTCAAAAAGCTGTATCTGCCCCTGTCAAAGACTTAAGTAGACCTATTTATCGTTCAGAGAATCACTTTTTCATATCATTTATTCAAAATGGCCACCATCTTACTTTACCAGAAGCTCTCGAGGCGGGAGTCGGTGACGACAAGAACAAGGGGTTGGCTGAAGTCAAGGCGCAGTCGTTCTTTGAAAAGTACGGTTCATGTCGCTGGATCATCGCCTACTTGACATGCATGGCCAGACTGTCCCAGACTGCACTGCGACAGTTTATTGGCATGTCGGTTGTGTGCATGCAGTCAGGAAACACCAGTTTCGTTGGTAACGTCACTCTGAATGGAACCAACTTTGCTGCAAATAACCTGACAAATTTTAAGGTAAATGCATGCATATCTGAAAGTATCACTTTAATGCTTTAACTATACTTTCTTTAACGATTAATTAACGGCTACCGAAAACAGTTCTTTAATACTTTAACTATTATTTACTTTAACTATTAATTTACGGCTACCGAAAACAGTTCTTTAATACCTTAACTATTATTTACTTTAACTATTAATTTACGGCTACCGAAAACAGTTCTAAAACTTGGATACCTGAGGACATTATATAGGGACACGCGTGCCCCGAGTTGCGTCCCTTGTCTCTGAAATGATCCGCTGATGATGGGTTCGCATCTAAAACTTTCGCCAAAGATGATCCTTGATCATCCACAAAACAAAACACTTCTGCATCACTTTGGATTTTTCTCTCATATCTTGCTGAAACACCCTAATGTGACGGCGTTGTCAATGTTACTTAATCACTTACGAATATAGCATCAGTGTGGTTGTATTTTTGTTTATTGTTGGCAATCTATAGCCTGTTTTTATATTGTATAGTCATTTATAGTTAAATATTTTAAATTGAATTGAATATCTGTGATCTAGTTGTTTTACTGTCCTTTGCAGACAGGTATATTATCTAAATTTGGTTTTATTTATTCATAAATTTACAACTTACTTAGTCACGATAGGCTGAAATACTGCCAGTGTGACTTTAAATCTTAACTGACTTACTCACTGTTTTTGTTTAGTTTCAGATCGCCGAGTTTGATTGGAACTCTGAGTTCGAAGGCTTGATACTGACGTCATACACGATCGGCTTCATTTTCACACCCGTAGTAGGCGGATATTTGGCGGGAAAGTTTGGCAGCAAGAAAGTCATCGCCATGTCGGTGTTTGTTGGTTCCCTAGCAACACTACTGACTCCCATTGCTGCGAGATGGAATGCAGACGCTATGGTTGGATTGAGAATAGTTGTCGGGTTCTTCATGGTGAGCGCCAAGACATACCATATTTATAATAATACATTCTAACGTCAATTTTGAAAAATACTGCCTCATTTTTCATCAAACAGCAGTTCAAATCACTATATTAAAACAGTTCATGTTCCTGCTAAAAACGCCTTTCTCAAAAATACAACTTCATACAAATTATCATACCCGTGAAGATCCGGGTTCCGGGTTAGAATTGGTCTTCAGCAACCCATGCTTGTCTCAACCCATCCGGGTTAAAATTGGTCTTCAGCAACCCATGCTTGTCGTAAGAGGTGACTAACGGGATCGGATGGTGACTCGCTGACTTGGTTGGCACATGTCATCATATCCCAATTGTGTAGATTGATGCTCTTGATGTTGATCACTGGATTGTATGGTTCAAACACCATTATTTACAGACCGCCGCTATAAAGCTTGAATATTGCTGAGTGCGGCGTATAACTAAACTCACTCAGTGTGGCGTGAAACAACAAACACACAATCACACACGTTATCTTGGGTTATCTGACTAGAAACGTCGATAACAACCTTTTCCCATATCAAGTGGCATCCGCATAGCTAGCATTTAGGCAAACATAAACTAACACCTGGATCCATTCCTGTGGTTCACGTAATCATAAGTTACCTGTCTGTGCCTTCCACATGCAACTTTGATTGGCTGCACTATTAGGTCTGACAACCAATCAGAAACTGCGTTGCAAACCAGCCCCAATGTTGGATTTGCGGTATCAACGTGGCGGCCAATCCCACGGGCTTTTATCGATTTTTAGATAAATTCATATATTTGAAAACTGACAGACTGGCAAAAGGTGCCCTCTCAATTGAGACTTGGGGAAAATGGTGTCTTCATGTCCATCAAAACTGATTTTGAAAACCGTTTGGTTGTAGGAGTTATCTCCCTTATCACGTCTCTTTTTCTTCACGTAGACGTGTGATTGGTGTGAAATGTTAATGCAAATCAAGGGCAGGTAATCTGCGATCGCAAATGATTCTATGGGTTATTATTAAGTTTACCAAAATGGCAGCCCTGGAAATCTATAGGATCATTAAACTGCCATGCGTGAAATAACTGCGATCCTGTTTGAAGAGGCATGAATCCCAACGTAATCACTCACTTTACTATCCACAGAATTAAGTTTAGAATTGCCTTCACTTATCAACTGGAACGGTAAATGACCAAAGTTATCTGTTACAGGGCACCGTTGATCCTGCAATTCAAGGGCTATGGGCAAAGTGGGCCCCGAAGTATGAAAAGAGCCAGCTCACAACGACCTCTTTCTCAGGTGATTTTGGGATCCCTATTAACATGGCGCATTGATTATGTGGAAGGTAGAGTGAGATGCTGTTAGCAAGATTCCAACATGGAATCGAACCCGATAATGACGAGCGAACGCGTTAACCACTTGGCTATACTGAAGTGCTTAGTTGAATACTCAGTTTGACATAACAGTTTGTTAAATTAGCTTCATGTTCGAGGAAGGCATCTCTTTAGCTTGTATAATTAGTAGCAGCAGTAACAGCAGCAACAGTAGTAGTAGTAGTAGTAGTAGTAGTAGGAGCAGCAGCAGTAGTAGTAGTAGTAGTAGTAGTAGCAGTAGCAGTAGCAACAGTAGTAGTAGCAGCAGCAGCAGCAGCAGTAGTAGTAGCAGCAACAGTAGTAGTAGTAGCAGTGGTAGCAGCAGCAGCAACAGCGGTAGTAGTAACAGCAGCAGCAACAGCAGCAGTAGTAGTAGTGGCAGCAGCAGTAAGCAGTAGTAGTAGTAGTAGTGGCAGCAGCAGCAGCAAGTAGTAGTAGTAGTGGACAGCGGTAGTGAGTAGTAGTGAGTAGCAGCAGCAGCAGCGGTAGTAATGGGTAGTAGTAGCAGTAGCAGTAGTGAGCAAGTAGCGGCAACGGTGGTAGTAGTAGTAGTAGTGGCAGCAGTGGTAGTAGTGGTAGTGGTAGCAGCAGCAGTAGTGGTAGCAGCAGCAGTGGTGGCAGTAGTGGTTGCAGTGGCAACTGGCAGCGGTAGTAGTAGCAGTAGCGGCAGCAGTAGTGGTAGTAGCAGCAGCGAGTAGTAGTAGTGGTGGCAGTGGTAGTAGTAGTGGTAGCGGCAAGTAGTAGGTAGTAGTGGCAGTGGTAGTAGTAGCAGCGGCAACGGTAGTAGCGGTAGTAGCAGCGGTAGTAGTAGTAGTAGCAGCAACAGTAGTAGTAGTAGTAGCAGAAGCAGCAGCAGTAGTAGTAACAGCAACAGTAGTAGTAGTAGTAGTAGCAGCAGCAACGGTAGTAGTAAGCAGCAAGCAGTAGTAGTAGTAGTAGTAGCAGCAACAGTAGTAGTAGTAGCAGCAGCAGCAGTAGTAGCAGCAACAGTAGTAGTAGCAGCAGTAGCAGTAGTAGTAGTAGTAGTAGTAGTAGTAGTAGTAGTAGCAGCAGCAGCAGCAACAGTAGTAGCAGTAGCAGCAGTTGAAGCAGCAGCAGCAGCAGTGGCAGTAGTAACAGCAGCAGTAGCAGTAGTAGTAGTAGCAGCAGTAGTAGTGAAAGTAGCAGCAGCAGCAGTAGCAGTAGTAGTAGCAGCAGCAGCGGTAGTAGTAGTAGTAGTAGTAGCAGTGGTAGTAGTGGGTAGCAGCAGTAGTAGCAGTAGCAGTAGTAGTAGTAGTAGTAGCAGCAGTAGTAGCAGCAGTAGCAGCAGCAGTAAGTAGCAAGTAGCAGTAGTAGTAGCGGTAGCAGCAGTAGTAGTAGCAGCAGCAGTAGTAGTAGTAGTAGCAGTAGTAGTAGTAGCAGTAGTAGTAGGTAGTAGCAGCAGCAGCAGTAGTAGTAGCAGCAGCAGCAGCAGCAGCAGCAGTAGTAGTAGCAGTAGCAGTAGCAGTAGCAGCAGCGTAGTAGTGCAGCAGCAGCAGCAGCAGTAGTGCAGCAGCAGCAGCAGCAGTAGTAGTAGTAGTAGCAGCAGCAGCAGTAGTAGTAGCAGCGGTAGTAGTAGCAGCAGCAGTAGTGGTAGCAGTAGTAGTAGCAGCAGTAAGTAGTTGCAGTAAGTAGCAGTAGCAGTGGTGAAGTAGTAGCAGCAGCAGTAGCAGCAGTGGTAGTAGTAGTAGTAGTAGCAGTAGCAGTAGCAGCGGTAGTAGCTGGCAGCAGCAGTAGTAGCAGCAGCAGCAGCAGTAGCTGTAGTAGTAGCAGCAGTAGTAGTAGTAGTAGTAGCAGCAGCAGCAGTAGTAGTAGTAGTAGTAGTAGTAGTTGTTGTAGTTCGAGATCCGTGCTTAAGTTAAGATTTTAAGAAGTGAAGTAGATAAAAACCATTTGTGCATTATATTTTTCATTTTTCTTACTTCAGGAGTTGCCATCGCCGGTATCCTAACGTTTTTCATATCCGGGTTTCTATGCGACATCGACCTTGACAACGGATGGCCTTTCACCTTCTACGTGTTTGGTAAGTCTGTTTGATTGCGTCCACTATCTCCCTAAGGTCGACAGTATCTGAAAAAGCAGGTCGCGAAGACGCGAAGCTAGGTCACGCGAAGCTAGATCACCAATACACGAATGATATCGGCTTCTCGTTTTATCAGATTGGAGGCTATGTTGTGTAATGGAAGTCAATTTAGGTTAGAGTTGGACTCAACACGGAAATCACACAGGTTTGCAGATGGTCTACAACACGAAGGTCGAAGGTTAACGAGTGAGTGAGTGAGTGAGTGGGTGGGTAAGTGAGTGAGTGTGTTGGGAGGATGTCATGGGACACGAGTGACCCAGTCGTTTAAGGCGCTGAAATTAGCTGTGTTGTGTTCGTTGGAGTGAGTGAGTGAGTATGCGACAGCACAGCAGCAAACACAAAAAGAGCACCACTCATTGTTATCATGCGGGGATTCGAACCTAGTCTTCAGCACGATGAGCGAACGCTTTAACCATTAGGCTAAAACTAAGCATATGTCTTCGGTTGAGGCTGTGTTAGCATTGTGTCAATGCATAAATAGTACACATTGTCAATACCGTATACCACGGTTATAGTCTGTTTGTGGTGAAAACGTACCGATGAATTTCACTTTAAACAAAAAAGTAAATCAAATAAAGTGAAATTAAGATTGCGAATCCTCATAATTTTACCTTGCCATTTGAAAATTTAAATCTCAGAATTTTATTCAACTCTGGATGAAAGTTGTTTAACAAACGATCACAGTTTCAAATCGGTATTATTGGTTTGTATTACAAGGGGGTATGCACATAAACGCGCATCTCGTACCGCACGTGCATTTGTTTCACTGTTCCAACTACAGCGCTTACCCCCTTGTAATACAAACCAATATAAGCGATTTGAAACTGTGATCGTTTGTTAAACAACTTTTTTCATAAGTTGAATAAAAATCTAAGATTTAAATGTTCAATTTGTAAGGTAGAATTATGAGGATTCGCAATCTTAATTCACTTTATTCGATTTACATTTTTGTTTAAAGTGAAATTCACCGGTACGTTTTCACTGCAAACAGACTTTAGAACGAATTCAAAGTGAACATTATTATTTTAGGGGTGGGTATTGCAGAGAAGTTTCATATTGCGATATATTGCGATGCGAAAGCATGTATTGCGATATGTATTGCAATATATTACATGAAGTATTTTTAAACAAAAAACTACTTATAATCGAGTTAATTCTTGATTTATAGAGCAAAAACACAACAAAATCACTAGGCTTGATTATGCTTTAATAACAACTTTTAATCATGATAAAATAAAAATATGAATAATATTTGGCACAAATGAAACAAGGACATATCCGAAGATTTCCGAGTGTTACGAAGTTTTCCAAATGCAAGTCAAAATACCAGTTTTCGATCAGCGTATCGCAATACGTATCGTTTTCATGTCTGAACCGGTAAATACCGGTAAACCGGTTATATTGCGCAGCCCTAATTAATTTTATTCATTTTGATAACCGTATATCTGTAGAAGCATTTCAACTCAAGCAGCAAGTGGTCGTGACCAAAAAAAGCCCAAAACAACCACAAACAATTCGTTATAAGTGTGTTGGTTATTAACGGACTTTACTGGATGTCTGTGCAGGAGGTTACGCCTTCTTCGTGCTGGTTCCATGGATATTCACTGTGTATGACACGCCCGACTCCCATCCAAGAATCTCAGACAAGGAACGCTCAATCATCTACAGTGGAAATTCCTCGAGTCAAATGAAAAAGGTAAGTAGTGTTCAATGACATCATAAAGTCATTGCAACAGCGCCTCTGGGTATCAAGATGGGTCGTCTAAGGTGTCGCAGATATCTGTGTAGAGTTGCGTCCCTTGAATACGCCAGGAACCGTCTATTGCCGATTTTGTTTGTAGGTTAGTTTGTACCATAGTGCTAAAGGTCACTGCAATACTTCGGAATTTCCTCCCACAATAAGTTGACTAGCTGTGACACAGATTGAATATTTTTCAAAACGACGTTGAAACCAACTCACTCACTCACGCTGAATTTACATATGTGACTTATTATCTGTTCTTCTGAACTCTCAATATCTTATTTCCCAATAGTTCTACTCATAACCCGTGCATTGTACACTGATTCGACATCTTGGGTCTATTCACTCCTGTGTTTAAGTTTGTGGATGAAGGTGTGATGCTGATGGTATGTCGGAAAATGGTAGAAGGCAGCATGACCAAAGCGTTCAACGTTTCAGAGTCGTGGCTAAGCTTGAATGATGGAATTTTGTCTCTGTCAATCTGTTTTCACTTCGCGAGTTCTTGATAGGCGTAATTCTGTCTGGAGACGTCGAAATGAACGCCAAGAAATGTACCTGAAACCCCCTGGCGGATATGGCGGTGGATGTTATGATGTGGGGTTTCATCACTGCACCTTAGCGGTTCAACCACAGACCCTCGTGTCTTTGTGAGGATTAAAGATTTAGAAAAAAAACCATTACAAGTTTGAGATGACCCCTACTCGAAATGCTTCATGGTACAATAAGTCATGATGTTTTGCACTGTGAAGCATTTTGAGTCGGGGGTCATCTCAAAAAGAAAAATAAACCTTAATCCTCGCAAAGACACGAGGGCCTGTGGTTCCAACCCCAACTTGTACAAGATGTGTGCCCGGACAGCACGTCGGGAGATCATTGTGCGGCTGTGTGTTGTCCCCAATGCGAGTGGATTGGCGGCAGGTGGCACAAGGGGCAGATAACTCTACATGTCACACTGGAACATTCCCTTTGAGTCGCCCCTTACAACAAGCATTGATTTGCTGGGTGTATATTCATTCCGGGATCTTACCAGGTAAATCTCACTGGTATAAGCTCTGACATTGCACATGTATACTTTTAGATGCCGAATCCTCCGTGGCGGAAGATTTTCACCTCACTGCCATTCTGGTCCATCATCATCGCTCACATCTCGTACTCGTGGGTAACGTCGTGGGTGATGGCCTATCTGCCTACGTACATGAAGGAGGTCCTAGACTACGACATAGAGGAGGTAAAGGAGAAACCTGCTCCCGAGCATCTGCTGTTATGAAGGACATAATATTTCATCTATTTTTGATAAATACAGTAAACTACCTCCATACCCATCTCATAGGTATCACTGGGGCGGTGGGGTAGCCTAGTGGTTAGAGCGTTGGCTCGTCACGCCGAAGACCCGGGTTCGAATCCCCACATGGGTACAATGTGTGAAGCCCATTTCTGGTGTCCCCCGCCGTGATGTTGCTGGAATATTGCTAAAAGCGGCGTAAAACCAAACTCAGTCAGTCAGTCAGTCATAGGTATCACTAATTTCAACCCCTGAAGATCCGGGTTAGAATTGGTCTTCAGCAACCCATGCTGTCGTAAGAGGCGACTAACGGGATCGGGTGGTCAGGCTCGCTGACTTGATTGACACATGTCATCGGTTCCCCATTGCCTGGATCGATGCTCATGCTGTTGATCACTGGATTGTTTGGTCCAGACTCGAATATTTACAGACCGCCGCCATATAGCTGGAATATTGCTGAGTGCGGCGTAAACTAAACTCACTCACTCACTAATTTCAGTTTGTGATAACCGTAGTTTGTTGTAAGCATTTCGACTAAACTATACAGCAAGTGGTGGAGGCAAAAAAGAATAGTTCGTTATATCCGTCAGTTCGTTATATCCGTTATAAACGCAGTCTTCTGTACACGGGGACTATTCGTCACCATGGCTATATATCGTGGCTTCAAAATCGTAGATGACAGAATTTATTTGATGAAAAGAAATACCTTCATTAATTATTTTAAGCTTAATTGAGTTCGATTCGGCTTAAAAACGCAACTGTTGTGAGGAAAAGGTCCAGGGTATTTAGGTATTTAGGTATTTAGGATGGAGATAACATGCCTGAAAACTCGAGGATGCGATACGTGCTTTGCCATTTGTAAAGAGATACATGTGCACGAACTGATACCAACACACGTGAGATGTGCTTTATGTCTACCAATGTTTAGGGGCGGTGGGGTAGCCTGGTTGTTGAAGCGTTCGCTAGTAACGCCAAAGACTAGGGTTTGATTCCCTACATGTGTGAAGCCCATTTTTGGTGTCCCCTGCAGTGATATCGCTGGAATATTGCTAAGAGCAGCGTAAAACTAAACTCACCCATTCCAATTTGAAGACACAATCTAAAAGCGTAACCAGTATGAATAACAGATATATGACCTTGACCTTGTTACCCTCGCCGATGGCTGTTAATGTTCATGTTGTTTTGTGCAGAATGGCATGCTGGCATCTATGCCGTTTGTTGGGCGCTTTATATCCGGTCTACTGTGTGGCTTTGCGTCTGATTGGCTGCTGCAGAGACACCTATTCTCAACGGCTACAGTCAGAAAGATATTCCAGTTCACCGGTAATCCAATTTGTTTGAAATAGTTCGATGTTGTACATGTATTGAATTATGTTTAAATATGACACCTATTGACTCCGGAAACAGCAACCTCGATTATCCAGTGATTTTAAGAGCGTACACCTCAAGATCGCAATATTTCTCATTCGTTTTCAAGTATAATTGAACGGCGCGGCAATGGCAGCCCAGACGGATGATGAATTTATGTATGTAATGCTGGATGCCTATCCGGCGGCCTTGATCAGTACTCATTCTATCAACCACTGGTTTGGTGACGTCCACTCAGTACACATAGCCACACTGTTTATGACATCAATTTTATATTTTTCTTCTTTCAAGTTTATTAAACACGCAATGGAAGGCAAATATTCATACCAAAAGCGTAATTTTGCAAGAATACCATTTGTAATAATTGTTACCAGACGGTAATATAACTAACGGAGCTAAGAAACTTAACGCCTTATTTGTGCTGCAGGCAACTTTGTATGTGCTGCCTGCACCATCACCATCGGCTTCCTGGACAAGGAACAGCGGACTATTGCAGTGGTGCTTCTCATAGTCGGGTTGTCCTTCCAGAACTTTACATCTGTCGCCTTCAGAATCAACCACCTCGACATAGCACCAAGGTACGACTTAATGCTTCCGATCCTTCTGTAACTCGAACAAAGGGAGCATCAAATTTGATTCAACCAGCCATTAGAGTCAACAAACTCCACATGTAATTGACTAGCTGAAACATACTTGTCCACTGAAAAAGTAATCCCAAATATAACATATGTTACATACTTGTCCACACGTGATTATAAGTCATAGTCCGTCAGGTTCATTCATGCAAAGGTCAAGGAAGAATACGTGTTCTTTTACACCACTCAAAACAAGGTGAGATTCGTTCATGCAAAGGTCAAGGAAGAATACGTGTTCTTTTACACCACTCAAAACAAGGTGAGATTGGTCAGCATCACGTTTCTATTGCTGCTCGAGGTATTATGCTGGTAACGGAAACGGCCGATGTGATCTGATTAGTTAAGACTATCCCGCAGCTTCTGTTAATATCGTTTAAGGACAGTCAGCATAGCAATGTGGTTGATGGCTGGCTATATTTCAGGTACGCCAGTGTTCTGATGGGAATCACCATGACATGCGCATTCGCCGCCGCTCTGTCCGCCCCTCTCATTACAGCTGCTATTGTTAAGGAGGTGAGTATATACCAACAGCATGTATTTGGGAGAGTTACCTCCCTTTGCTGCTTATTGGGAAATGTGTTACGCCCGAAGGATAATAATAATAATAATGAGAAGTCTTATAATGCGCTAATCTCCACGCAACAAAGCATGCTCTAAGCGCTAACACCCTGATTATTATTACCCCGGATAACCCAAGCTGCCTGTTAGGCGCTAGAAGGTTATAGTCACATGACTTTATCCAACCGGGTACCCATTTTCTGCTGGGTGAACAGAGGCAGTTTTGAACAAACTCACTTGCCTAAGGTGAGACCACATGTATCACGCATGTGCTTAGTTGTGGGGCAGGACGGAAGTCCTAGAAACTCTCAGGAGTCAAGCTGCCAAACACGGTCACCCATCCAAGGACTGTCCGAGCTCGATGTTGCTTAACTTCAACTGATTCGTGACCTGCGCTCTGTGCACAGGACCACACGCCACCAAGGATACGATCATCCCTCTGGATGTCGTGTACGGAATGGTTAATTTACGATACGTTTTTGAGGGATAAGTAAGATATATTTATTATGGTTGATCACAATGTTCAATTGGCAACTAACAAGTAAATAGTTTCGACACCGTTACTGGGAGAGAGAGAATGAATAGTGTTTTACGTCACCCTTAAAATATTCCAGCAATTTCACGGCGTGGGACACCAGAAATAGGCATCATACATTGTGCCCAGATCTTCGACATGACGAGCGAACGCTTTAACCATAAGCTACCTAAGTTACTGGAAACAATATTACTCTTAGTGTGCAATGCCATCGGACAATATATGATTTACGGCGCGGTCAGGTATAAGAATGAAACTTTATGACGTAGTTCAGAGAGTCTACATCACGTATATTACGTACACGCTCACACTGTTGTTAGCTTCGTCTTGGTTTATCGATTTATCGTTTTATCGATTTCCAAAAATCAGCACTGGTGTCGTGACGATCGCGATGGTATAGGTGACTCATAGACTCACTCCTTACAGGGGCGGTGGGGTAGCCTAGTGGTTAAAGCGTTCGCTCGTCACGCCGAAGACCCGGTTCGATTCCCCACATGGGTACAATGTGTGAAGCCTATTTCTGGTGTCCCCCGTCGTGATATTGGTGGAATATTGCTAAAAGCGGCGTAAAACCATACTCACTCACTCCTTACATTTCAGCATACACGAGAAGAATGGCAGATCGTGTTCTTCCTGGTGGCTGGACTTAACATTGTCGGGGGGCTAGTGTTCGTGGTGTTTGCCAAAGGGGAGGAACAAGAATGGGCCAAGGTGACCCCCGAGAAGGATCCCAATGCCGAACTAAGCGAGAAACCACCTATCGATAGTCAATTCACGAAGGACTCATCCAAATATGGAAACGGAAATATCAACAAAGGTTACCATGGAGATACCGAAAGTGAGATTTCTGAGACAGAGAGTGAATTAGGACGGAGAGAAAATTGTGACTTGTCCGAGAAGAGAAATGGCCACGTCAATAATACGCGATTGTGATGATAGAATGTGAGCAGTACATAGTGTAAATATGTAAATATACGTGTATATATTTTATCCATTGAGGAAGTGAAAGAGAATGAATTTGTAAATAGCGCAACTAGTTCTGTTGATATATGATCAGAGAACAGAATACACACACACACGCGCGCGCATACACACGCATGTAAAATATGTACATGTTCAGCCGCAATGTTTGTGTAAAATGTATTATTATTTTCCTTTTATCAAATAGAAAGAGTGACATCTGATTTTACTTTCTTGTTTGTCTTGCAAGATCGATTCTCTTGATGAGGTCAGCTCGGCACAGAAAAAAATGCTAAATAATTGATGTGTCCATTTTCATTTATTCTTTTCGTCCTTATGAATGTGAAAGAAACGAACCCAAGTAACGATCCGAGGACGACGAGATTAAATATGAACACGACTCCCATATCTGTGTAGCTAAAAGCAAAGAACGAGGGATTTTACGCCTCTTTGTACGGTATTTACGTTTCTTTACGACGTGTGATCTTAATGTGGGACTATTTCAGTTATATGATGTAAACGTATTCAATGAAATGTAAACAAACTATTACAGCTTATGCTTATACAGCTCCTACACAAAGTATTAATAATAATATAAACTGTAAACCAGAACATAATGTACATTATTATACTAGACAGGTACCTCTGCCTCACTTTGAACGGCCACAGGGTGATTCACTATAGTAAGTCATGGTCAACCCTCATGTATCATGGAATGATGAATAAATATTTCAGGATGTGGCACTAGATACATCATCTTTAAGGGAAAACCTATATTGATGGGCCGATCCAGTTAGATTATTTTGATTTACGGCTGCTGTGTAGAAGTACAGAGATTTATCATGACATGAACATGAAATGTTCTCAGAGCATCCAAACATACGTTTTCTGGAATAGTCGAATGTTCTGAAGTCCAAATGTGGAAGCAAAAGTCATGATTAGGCAAGATGAAAAGGATTAAAAGTATTTCCACGTTTTTTTTCTTTTTCAATAATATTAGGGCATGTCAGTTAATGTGGGTGTATCACGGATCTCAGCTTGATGTAGAAGTATTTAGGTTATATCATGGCATGTCAGGTTAATGTGGAAGTATTTCAGTCATATCACAGCATATCAGCTTGATGTTATGGCACGGCATGTCAGCTTGATGTGGACGTATTTCAGTTTGTATCACGGGATGTCACCTTAATGTGGAAGCATTTCAGTTATAACACGGCATGTCAGCTTGATGTGGGAGTATTTCAGTTATAACACGGAATGTCAGTTTGATGTGGGAGTATTACAGTTATAGCACGGCATGTCAGAATGATGTTGAAGTGTTCCAGTTATATCACGGCGTGTCAGCTTGATGTTGAAGCATTTCAGTTATAGCACGGCATGTCAGCTTGATGTGGGAGTATTTCAGTTATAGCACGGCATGTCAGCTGGACGTGTGAGTATTTCAGTTATAACACGGCATGTCAGCTTGACGTGGAAGTATTTCAGTTCTATCACGGCATGTCAGCTTAATGTGGAAGTATTTCAGTTTGTATCACGGCATGTCAGCTTGAAGTGAAAGTATTTCAGTTTGTATCACTGGATGCCAGCTTAATGTGGAAGTATTTCAGTTATAGCACGGCATGACAACTTGATGTGGAGATATCTCAATTATATCACGGCATGTCAGCTTGATGTGGAAGTATTTCAGTTAAAACACGGCATGTCAGCTTGATGTGGAAGTATTTCAGTTGTATCACGGCATATCAGCTTGATGTGGGAGTATTTCAGTTAGAACACGGCATGTCAGCTTGATGTGAGAGTATTTCAGTTAGAACACGGCATGTCAGCTTGATGTGAGAGTATTTCAGTTATAGCACGGCATGTCATCTTGATGTGGGAGTATTTCAGTTATAGCACGGCATGTCAGCTTGATGTGGGAGTATTTCAGTTATAACACGGCATGTCAGCTTGATGTGGAGTATTTCAGTTATAACACGGCATGTCAGCTTGATGTGGAAGTATTTCAGTTATAGCACGGAATGTCAGCAGGATGTGAAAGTATTTCAATTATACCACTGCATGTCAGCTTGATGCGGGAATATCTCAATTATATCACGGCATGTCAGCTTGATGTGGAAGTCTTTCAGTTATAACACGGCATGCCAGCTTGATGTGGGAGTCTTTCAGTTATAACACGGCATGTCAGCTTGATGTGGGAGTATTTCAGTTATAGCACAGCATGTCAGCTTGATGTGGAAGTATTTCAGTTATAACACGGCATGTCAGCTTGATGTGGAAGTATTTCAGTTATAACACGGCATGCCAGCTTGATGTGGGAGTATTTCAGTTATAACACGGCATGCCAGCTTGATGTGGGAGTATTTCAGTTATAACACGGCATGTCAGCTTGATGTGGGAGTATTTCAGTTATAGCACGGCATGTCAGCTTGACGTGGCAGTATTTCAGTTTTATCAAGGCATGTCATCTTGATGTTGAAGTATTTCAGTTGTATCACGGCATGCCAGCTTGATGTTGATGTATTTCAGTTATAGCACAGAATGTCAGCAGGATGTAGAAGTATTTCAGTTATAGCACGGAATGTCAGCAGGATGTGAAAGTATTTCAATTATACCACTGCATATCAGCTTGATGCGGGAATATCTCAATTATATCACGGCATGTCAGCTTGATGTGGAAGTATTTCAGTTAGAACACGGCATGTCAGCTTGATGTGGGAGTATTTCAGTTATAACACGGCATGTCAGCTTGATGTGGAAGTATTTCAGCTATAACACGGCATGTCAGTTTGATTTGAAAGTATTTCAGTTATAGCACGGAATGTCAGCAGGATGTGAAAGTATTTCAGTTATAACACGGCATGTCAGCTTGATGTGGGATTATTCAGTTATAACACGGCATGTCAGCTTGATATGGGAGTATTTCAGTTATAACACGGAATGTCAGTTTGATGTTGGAGTATTACAGTTATAGCACGGCATGTCAGAATGATGTTGAAGTGTTCCAGTTGTATCACGGCGTGTCAGCTTGATGTTGAAGCATTTCAGTTATAGCACGGCATGTCAGCTTGATGTGGGAGTATTTCAGTTATAACACGGCATGTCAGCTTGACGTGGAAGTATTTCAGTTCTATCACGGCATGTCAGCTTAATGTGGAAGTATTTCATTTTGTATCACGGCATGTCAGCTTGAAGTGAAAGTATTTCAGTTTGTATCACTGGATGCCAGCTTAATGTGGAAGTATTTCAGTTATAGCACGGCATGACAACTTGATGTGGAGATATCTCAATTATATCACGGCATGTCAGCTTGATGTGGAAGTATTTCAGTTAGAACACGGCATGTCAGCTTGATGTGGGAGTATTTCAGTTATAACACGGCATGTCAGCTTGATGTGGAAGTATTTCAGTTATAACACGGCATGTCAGCTTGATGTGGAAGTATTTCAGTTATAGCACGGCATGTCAGCTTGATGTGAAAGTATTTCAGTTATAACACGGCATGTCAGCTTGATGTGGGATTATTCAGTTATAACACGGCATGTCAGCTTGATATGGGAGTATTTCAGTTATAACACGGAATGTCAGTTTGATGTTGGAGTATTACAGTTATAGCACGGCATGTCAGAATGATGTTGAAGTATTTCAGTTATAACACGGCATGTCAGCTTGATGTGGAAGTATTTCAGTTATAACACGGCATGTCAGCTTGATGTGGAAGTATTTCAGTTATAGCACGGCATGTCAGCTTGATGTTGAGTATTTCAGTTATAACACGGCATGTCAGCTTGACGTGGAAGTATTTCATGTTATATTTCATTTTGTATTTCAGTTATCACGGAATGTCAGCTTGATGTGAATATTGAAAGTATTTCAGTTTGTATCACTGGATGCCAGCTTAATGTGGAAGTATTTCAGTTATAGCACGGCATGACAACTTGATGTGGAGATATCTCAATTATATCACGGCATGTCAGCTTGATGTGGAAGTATTTCAGTTAAAACACGGCATGTCAGCTTGATGTGGAAGTATTTCAGTTGTATCACGGCATGTCAGCTTGATGTGGAAGTATTTCAGTTATAGCACGGCATGTCATCTTGATGTTGAAGTATTTCAGTTATAACACGGCATGTCAGCTTGATGTGGAAGTATTTCAGTTATAGCACGGAATGTCAGCAGGATGTGAAAACATTTCAATTATACCACTGCATGTCAGCTTGATTCGGGAATATCTCAATTATAACTCGGCATGTCATCTTGATGTGGAAGTATTTCAGTTATAACACGGCATGCCAGCTTGATGTGGGAGTATTTCAGTTATAACACGGCATATCAGCTTGATGTGGGAGTATTTCAGTTATAGCACAGCATGTCAGCTTGATGTGGAAGTATTTCAGTTATAACACGGCATGTCAGCTTGATTTGGAAGTATTTCAGTTATAACACGGCATGCCAGCTTGATGTGGGAGTCTTTCAGTTATAGCACGGCATGTCAGCTTGATGTGGGAGTATTTCAGTTATAACACGGCATGTCAGCTTGATGTGGGAGTATTTCAGTTATAGCACGGCATGTCAGCTTGACGTGGGAGTATTTCAGTTTTATCAAGGCATGTCATCTTGATGTTGAAGTATTTCAGTTATAGCACAGAATGTCAGCAAGATGTAGAAGTATTTCAGTTATAGCACGGAATGTCAGCAGGATGTGAAAGTATTTCAATTATACCACTGCATATCAGCTTGATGCGGGAATATCTCAATTATATCACGGCATGTCATCTTGATGTGGAAGTATTTCCGTTAGAACACGGCATGTCAGCTTGATGTGGGAGTATTTCAGTTATAACACGGCATGTCAGCTTGATGTGAGAGTGTTTCAGTTGTATCATGGCATGTCAGCTTGATGTGGGAGTATTCAGTTATAACACGGCATGTCATCTTGATGTTGAAGTATATCAGTTGTATCACAGCATGTCACCTTGATGTGGGAGTATTTTAGTTATAACACGGCATTTCAGCTTGATGTGAGTATTTCAGTTATTTCAGCTTGATAATACGGCATGTCAGCTTGATGTGGAGAGTATTTTGATGTGAGAAGTATTTCAGTTATACGGCACGGCATGTCAGCAGTTATAGCACGGCATGTAGATGTAACACGGCATGTCAGATCTTTCAGTTATAACACGGCATGTCATCTTGAAGTGGAAGCATGTCATCTTGAAGTGGAAGTATGTCAGTTATAACACGGCATGTCAGCTTGATGTGGGAGTCTTTCAGTTATAACACGGCATGTCAGCTTGATGTGGGAATATTTCAGTTTTATCAAGGCATATCAGATAGATGGAGTATTTAAGTTGTATCACGGCCTGCCTGCTTGATGTTGATGTATTTCAGTTATAGCACAGAATGTGAGCAGTGTGTTGAAGTATTTCAGTTATAACACGGCATGTCAGCTTGATATGGAAGTACTTCAATTATATCATGACATGTCAACTAGATGTGCGAGGAACGCCTTAAAGTAACGACCCTACAATGTTGTAGTTTTATTTGTTACTGTACATGACACTAGCGGGTACGGTATAAGTGGTCTGTACAAGGCTAGGTATTGAACTGGTAATGGAACCAGTTCCATTTGTCAAAGTTCGCATTACACAAAATTAAAAACATATTCCATTGTTGATAACAGTACAAGGCCTGGCATCCACTTGGTAATGGAACTAGATCCATTTGTCAAAAGTGCGTAGAAGTATTACACAAAATTAAAAACAAGTCCCATTGTTGATAATAGTAACTTTTAATCACACATAACATCCCTAACCACCTTCCCGGTCTCTCATCAGAACATCCTCAATTGGCTTGCAAAGATCTTGGCTTTTGTACAGCGAGCTACAGGCTAGAAGGGCTTCTCTAAGGTCAAAGGTTAATTTTCCGTAGTTGAAAACTTAATGTGTAGTATATTCATCCGCCAAAACTAACACCAACTGGAACTGGAAGAAAAAATAAATCATTGAAATAGTTTCGATTCATGGTTTTAAAAATGTGACGAACGCTTTATTATGTTCATTTATCCTATCAGAAATATCCAACAATAGTCACGACTAAAATGCAAAGAGACATCTTTACAAAGATCACACGGCCAATTTTAAAACGACATATTGATTAATACATAGATTTATTATTTGAAATTGTATCCAGTTAAAACTGGATAAATAATGATATGGTAACACATCTTTAGGAAATCCACTTTAAGCTAACCGTGTTCACTTGATATCAAAGTAACCATAAAAATGGTTTTCATGGCACCAATCAACCATTTTGCAAATCATGGTACGGGTCATAGACAAACACACAACACCTGTCAATTGCAGTTATGGGATCCACAAGATGCAGTCACAAACTGAAACCTGGGATCTATGCTTACAATAGGCAGAGATATTTAAACCAAATTTGATCCTACATCATAGCTTTCGATTAAATCAATGATTTAATTTGATCCTTAGCAAAGTGTGAATAGTATGCATGGCATAGATACATGAGATTTTATTACATGGCATAAGCAGGTAGTTGCAGTTTGGATATACAGATATACAGAGGAAAGTCTCTTTTGCTGCATTAATTCAATATAATAAAATTTAAGATGAAGCAATTCTTACAAACAGTTCCTTATTGTCATTATATTGCTTTGAGACAATGCGTGTGTCGAATTATGAATATTAGATATAACTTCAGTATATTCAACTTCAGAAAACTTCCAACTGTTTACAGTAAGGTTGTTGTTTAATGTAATTAAACAATACAATGCGGACCGAACTGTCAAGTGACATCATGAGCATCGACCTACGTTTCATGCGTCAACCACGTCAGCGAGTCTCCTAATAGGGTTTGGCGATCAACCCAATCCTGTTTGTTGCCTCATACGTTGTACGTATATGCGGAGTGTCAATATTAACTTGTCGTATTGATGCATCTCACTCATCGACGTATTTTATATACGTCATGTGTCATCTCATCACACGCTATAGCTTAATAATATTAATGCTTCAAATTAACACGGCATACTAATGCGTCACATCTCCGAATCATACTGACGTATTAAGTTGAACGTACCTGGACCTCTTTTCATGACGTCATCAGTTTCAGAATTCGAATGTTCTTGCGAAAGGAGAGCTTTCCACATAATTTCTGAAATAGGAAATGTACAGCATATTAAAGAAGTTGTAAATGTAGTAACATACACAAATTATTTATCACATCTTCACATGCCCATATTTGTGTGACATGTAATTATTAAAACGACACAGGTTTCAAGGTAAGGACATAAGACATATGCAAGGGGAATACTTCCTCAAGCAACACAGACGTGTAGAACCTGTATGTGTACAATGATATATATGTAAAGAACAGAGAATGGACACAGAGGGAGGAGAATAGAGTTGAACTGATAACTGTGTGAAGCATAAAAAGCAGAAAAAATTGAGTGAGGAAAATGGAGTGATATGTGTGAGTGGAGTAAAATGTGGACAATACGTGTGACAAATGAAGAGGATAGATATGTGGAGAAGAACGAAGAAAATAAATTGGTGGAGAATATACTGTGGCTAAAAGTGTAAAGAATGAAGACGTTAAATATGTGGAGAAGATGCTGTAGATAAAAGTGTGAATAGTGAAGACGATAAACGTGTGGATAATATGATGTGGATAAAAGTGTGAAGAATGAAGAAGTTAAATGTGTGAAATATACTGTAGATAAAAGTGTGAAGATTGAAGAAGATATATGTCTGAAGAATATACCGTGGATACAAGTGGGAATCGAAGAAGGAAGAAGATAAATATGTAGAGAATATACTGTGGACAAATGTGTGAACAATGAAGCAGATAAATTTGTTGAGAATCAACAGTAGATAAAAGTGTGAAGAATGAAGAAGTTAAGTATGTAGAAGATATGCTGTAGATAAAAGTGTGAACAATGAAGAAGGTAAATGCGTGGAAAATATACTGTGGATGAAAGAGTGAAGAACGAAGCAGATAAATTTGTGGAAAATATACTGTGGGTGAAAGTGTGACTAGTGAAGAAGATATATTTGTTGAGAATCTACTGTAGATACAAGTGTGAAGAATATACTGGGAATACACGTGTAAACAATGAAGCAGATACATTTGTGGAGAATCTACAGGAGATAAAAGTGTGAAGAATGAAGAAGTTAATGATGTAGATGATATGCTGTAGATAAAAGTGTGAACAATGAAGAAGGTAAATGTATGGAGAATATACTGTGGATAAAAGAGTGAAGAACGAAGCAGATAAATTTGTGGAAAATATACTGTGGATGAAAGTGTGAATAGTGAAGAAGATATATTTGTTGAGAATCTACTGTAGATACAAGTGTGAAGAATATACTGGGAATAAACGTGTAAACAATGGAAGCAGATAAATTTGTGGAAAATATACTGTGGATGAAAGTGTGAAGAATATACTGGGAATAAACGTGTGAACAATGAAGCAGATACATTTGTGGAGAATCTACAGGAGATAAAAGTGTGAAGAATGAAGAAGTTAATGATGTAGATGATATGCTGTAGATAAAAGTGTGAACAATGAAGAAGATAAATGTGTGGAGAATATACTGTGGATAAAAGAGTGAAGAACGAAGCAGATAAATTTGTGGAAAATATACTGTGGATGAAAGTGTGAATAGTGAAAAAGATACATTTGTGGAGAATCTACTGTAGATACAAGTGTGAAGAATGAAGAAGTTAAATATGTAGATGATATGCTGTAGATAAAAGTGTGAACAATGAAGAAGATAAATGTGTGGAGAATATACTGTGGATAAAAGAGTAAAGAACGAAGCAGATAAAAATTTGTGGAAAATATACTGTGGATGAAAGTGTGAAGAACGAAGCAGATAAATTTGTGGAAAATATACTGTGGATGAAAGTGTGAATAGTGAAGAAGATATATTTGTTGAGAATCTACTGTAGATACAAGTGTGAAGAATATACTGGGAATAAACGTGTAAACAATGAAGCAGATACATTTGTTGATAATATACTGTGGATGAAAGTGTGAAGAATATACTGGGAATACACGTGTAAACAATGAAGCAGATACATTTGTGGAGAATCTACTGTAGATAAAAGTGTTAAGAATGAAGAAGTTAATTATGTAGATGATATGCTGTAGATAAAAGTGTGAACAATGAAGAAGATAAATGTGTGGAGAATATACTGTGGATAAAAGAGTGAAGAACGAAGCAGATAAATTTGTGGAAAATATATATATAAAGTGTGAATAGTGAAGAAGATAAATTTGTGCAGCATATATATGTGGATGAAGAAGTGGCGAGAATATAGTGGATAAATATGTGGAGAACATAATGTGGACAGAGAAAAGTGGAGATTAAATGTGTGGAGGATACAATGTAAATGATGAAGTTATTAAGGGAGAATAAAAACCTGGGCAATACAGAGTGTTGAAGAATGTGTATAGAGAATATACTTGTAGAATAACGTGTGGAGAATGTGAGAACAGCGATGTGTGGTAGCTGAAAAAGAATGTAAAATTATGTACCGGTAATAAAACTGTGAATATTTTAAATCTTGTAGAATAAGGTATGGATAATGAAATCATATAGAAAATATAAATTGAAAATATCACCTTTTTGCAACTGGTCGGATTCAAACTCGCGCCCCACTCGGTGCCCAGGAGGGAGTCTGCACGATGGAGAAATGCCGATTACTTACAATGAATACAAGTTCCAGTTCTCGCATATAACAAGAATATCATCCCGTCTATACAAGCAGGGGTGTTTTGGGCCAAACCACTTGCAGCAGAACAGGGCGTGATGTTTGTGCACTGAATAAATCTACGTATATCTCCTGGAGGTGATGGCTCTTTAGAAAGAAAAGTTCGATCACAATCTAAGCATAAATGATCAATGATATCTAAAATATTCCGGATTTGAGAGTATCACCACCTTTCTTTTCTTACTTGGAGAACGAACAACATCTGACAAAACCTACATGGTTACCATAGTAACGTATATGGCCTTTAACAGTGTCAAAGAGGACACAATATTCATGTGTGGAGTGCAACCTCGTTTATCTAATTAAACACCTCTGTAAATTCTATTTTCCATCAAGTTCGTTAAACAAAACTCCCCTGTATGCAACACTTGCCGGTCACGCCCAACAGCAAATTACCATCCGTAGTTTTATATGCAATTTCAGTTAATTACGTGAGTATTCCACCTGTTTGGTGAGGGAGATCGTAATGTACTTACTGGTTGGGTGTTTTGCAGCAGTGACGATCTGTCGAAGAGAGAATATTGTGAGCAAATATAACGTAAACGCTTGTCTCGATTACCTGACGAAATAGCATTCAGTTGGGTGTAAATGGTTATACAGCAATGGAAATAACATGAATGAATCACTACAAACAGTAATGGCACCAGGTGTTGGAGAAGATGATAAGCATGGTCTGTCCTTCCTGGACCATTCGCCACTCACACAGTTAGCATAGCTAGGTATATGTATGTGCCTGCACAACAAAGGTCCTGAGATTATTCCACTATTAGATGGGCCCATATAGTAGCCAGAACAGGTCTTGCAATTTCTGTTCTGTTTGTTGTTCTGTTAGCCTGTTCAGTTGTGGATGAGGGTACAAATAAGCAACGATGACTATGCACATCACTAAGTTTACCTGGGAGAGTGGGATGTAATGACGGGACAACGGGACAACGGGACAACGGGACAACTTAATGACAACCAAGTATTCCGTAAATGGCACAGAGCAACTACTACAACTAAATATACCATGCGTGTTAAATTATTTACGTCAATAAACATTGACTGTTTGTATATATATCGCAAAAGTGCAGTTTTTAAACAGAAAATATTTCTGACAGGTTTAGCAATATCGGACTACATACAACCGTGCAGTTGAACTCATGTGGATCTTTCCAAGTGAAGGGGCGGTGGGGTAGCCTAGTGGTTAAAGCGTTGGCTCGTCACGCCGAAGACCCGGGTTCGAATCCCCACATGGGTACATTGTGTGAAGCTCATTTCTGGTGTCCCTCGCCGTGATATTGCTGGAATATTGCTAAAAGCGGCGTAAAAACCAAACTCACTCACTCACTTTCCAAGTGAAGGTCTATATTTGTCAGCAACCTATGGTGGTCACTATACGCATAATGTCACTGGATTGTATGGTTCAGATCTATTATGTACACGTCACGTAGCTGGGACATTGTTGACTGGGAACAGACAAAGCTTACCTCCCAAATTAACTTCCCTTTCCAGCAAACTCTCCTCTTCTTGTCTTACACGAGGCTGTTGAAGAGCATCTGATGACAAAAGATTATTTTCAGATGAAAGTTCCTTTTAATACATATTTCATAAATATATTTGTTGAATCTCGCCGTGTCGGCTTAACTTCGAGAGAAACATAGAAGTATGGCTACGGTGGGAACAAAAAGAACCCTTAACCAGGCTGAATCTTAGATTCGAACTTTATGTCGACGTTTGTCTATCTGTACCCAAGGACATCTCGCCGTGTCGGCTTAACTTCGAGAGAAGCATAGAAGTATGGCTACGGTGGGAACAAAAAGAACCCTTAACCAGGCCGAATCTTAGATTCGAACTTTATGTCGACGTTTGTCTATCTGTACCCATAAACAATGTTTATCGAGATTTCTCATGGATGTGGACAGGTTTTGTCGCTTCTTTTTAACTCCTGTATCTTTCTTGGCAGGTAGTGTTCCATAGTTATTCAGAATGGTGTTCCTGATAATCGAACTGTCCAATTGCCTCAAAATCTTGAACTCCGGTTATGATCGAACATTTATACGATAGATGTGCAGTGAATGAAAATTGATGTGTTGGACACGGTAGTAATGGTCCATCCCGGGATAATACTCACATTGTAAAAGTTTCAGTAATCTGGATTCAGCATTAAAACTCCTGAAAAGGTATGAAGTTTGTGTTATTCAAGAAAGTCAAACACAAACACGACGTAATTTGCATTTTGATTTATGATATACAAATATGAGTGCTACTGTACCGCTATTCGTTCACAGAAAGAACGAATGGCCGTCGATTACGTTTGAAATCTCAGCAAGGACAAGGCTAGTGATATTTAAAGTTCTCCTTCGTGTGTATCAATTATAGCCCTGGAATATCAGGAGGTTGTCTGGGATATATGCCGCGAGGTGTGGTGTGCTGATATCTCATATTTACATCACAGTATCACAATGATATCATACGTAGAAGTCAGGTGATGATTTATCCAATCGAATTTGCAATTGTAACCATACTTTACTTGTAATCCGCTGTGTCAAATTAATATTGGTAGACGATTACCAATTTGTGGAATATAGATAGTCCTGAGAATAATCAGTCTCGAATATAGATGTAGATGCCGAAGGTAAAAGTCAAAATATTGATGACATTATATAGATGGATCACTGAAAATCTGCAATGACCATCTGGTCAAATCCTGAAAACAACCAACGTCGTTCAATAAGCCCCTACCACATTTCTCTTGTATATATGAAATAAATAAATCAGTAAAAAAGCAATACTTACCTCTTTCCCGCCCTCCGTCTCCCGTTGCAGCAAACGCCATAGTTTTGTCCTGCAACATTTAACAGTACCGTTTTATTTCATCCAATCCCAAAGATCGCAAATCGGTGGGGTGGCCCTGTGATGGAGGTGTTCGCTCGTCTCGCCAAAGGTCGATGTTCGTTTTCCAACATCTATACTATTTGTGAACCCAATGAATCGTAATATTGTTCGATTACTGCTAAAAGTTACGTAAGGCCATTCAAAGTACTTTGTAGCAGCCAACCGGTTAATGCGTTCCCTCGTCTCGATGAACATACATATTCGAATCCAGATATGGTTCTTTGGTGTCCATATGAATGAACTATTGATGTACTTGGCATATATATAACCACTCACTCACTCTACCCCTCACATTTCTCACACATTAGTTTCAAATATTTTAAAACACCGCACGATATTTCAGTCGGAATTCCTTGTACAATCAAGCAGCTTATTACGTCCCTAAAGCTATTACAAAAGCCATTTGCGACACCAGTAGTTCCTACTTTATCAAATCAAAATTCCTATCGGCCCTCGCTGAATTCAGATGTTCTTCAGACCGCCTTCAAATTGAAACCGGTCGATATATTTATCAACCCAGTGAATGAGTGAGTGAGTGAGTCACTACGGAGATACGTTCAAAGGTCAAAGTTTACGTTGAACACGTCCAATTTGTTCACATTTCAGATTTTTGTGACGTAATTTTATGACATCATGATAGCTCGATAGTTTGTTCTAGCAATTCTGTTACAAATATTGACAGTCGCAACGCATGTGTTCCCTCTCAGTGCTTTAATTAACAATAGGTGATGTAATTAACAATAGATGATGAGTCGAGCTACTTACTTTTATCATTGTATCTGTCCGGATCCCCCAGGAGATCGATGTGGTTCTCGGGTTGACCTGTAACAGAGATATCTCAAGAACTCATCTCTTTCAAAATGTTGAAAACATAGAATATAAAGAGGTTTATTGCGTTATTTCCAGATTACCAATTTACCTCTTAAATGAAAAATATTTTCGGAATATAAATTTTGGAATTATCTTAATAAATATTGTTCAAATGAGCCACAACATATAATCATATAGAATATATAACAAGAATACACCCCCACCTAAACAGACCCCCTAAATTAATACATAAATAAAGACCAAATAAACCCAAAACAAAAACACAGGTTATCTAGATTTGCTGAGGTGTTATATACTTGTATGGGTGTATTTTTCTTCTTGATTACAACACTGGCTTCATTGACTGACTGACTGACTGAGTTTGGTTTTACGCCGTTTTTAGCAATATTCCAGCAACATCACGGCGGGGCACACCAGAAATGGGCTTCACACGTTGTACCCATGTGGGGATTCGAACCCGGGTCTTCGGCGTGACGAGCCAACGCTTTAACCACTAGGCTACCCCACCGCCCCGGCTTCATTAACGTAGCTGGCCATGTTCTACAACCAAAACACTTTGTTACCCAGCTGTTTCCTATTCCCAATACTTTGTCTCCACACTGATGCACTAGTAGCGAAAACATGAGATAAATCTTTGCGACACAGAATATCCTGCTATCTTATTTCAAATACGCCTCCAGGGTATAGTGTACGAGTGCCTGTCTGGAGAGACTCGATTGCGTCATGCCAAACGACGTTAAAAGAGTGAATGAATTTAGTTTTACGCCGTTTTAGCAATATTCCAGCAATATCATACGTGAAATGGACTTCACACAGTGTACCCATATGGGGAATCGAACCCGGGTCTTCAGTGTATAAACCGCGCTTTAACCACTAGGCTACCCCACCGTCTCACGTTATAAGATAATACCTATACCTCGGCAGTATGGTGGGCAAAACAATGACTTGCCAGCTAGGTGTCAGTGTCTGACTAGGGTGTCCATGTTAAACTGTGTCATGGTATCTCAGTGGAACGCACACACAAACACACACAGACTCAAAAATAGTCTTTTATCATTAGCAAGCGAAACATGAGCATGACTGATTCTGGAAAAAGAACTTGTATCCGTTACTTTATGTTGTTTTGCAAAAGAAAAACCGGGCTTTACGACACAGCTGCAGAACAAAGGATAAACAAAAGGCTGTCGAAGTTTATTTGAATGAATATTCATGAAATCTTTCTTTGACAATCGATTTGTGGTGTAAGTAATGTAGGTAAAAATCAAAGGTCAGGCAAATGTGAATTCGATCGAATTGACCGTACCTAGTCATAAAGCAGAAATACATTTTCAGTTATGAAACTTTTAGCTAAAACAACCAGTCTTTTCCTCTATGGCACAATTTGAACTCTTGAACAAATACAAAACCGGCATTCGAGTTGTTGATATGTCAGAATGGCTCCGCATATATTGTCTTGTTCCTTAGAGCAAGTTAGGTAACAAGAGCGGTGCCCGTTACAAGTGATTACTCCAGACAACTGGCTATCATATTGTATATATTTGATTAGCTTGAACAAATGTCAAATGTTTGGCGAAATACTTTTCAGAGCGTAATGATCATATCTTATATAAACTTGTTAAAAGGATTGGAGCATTAAGTGCACATTTATTGGTTTTAACATCGGATTGAATTTTCAGGAAATCGTTTTCACTGCTTGAATGCTGTTAGTGAACAGTAATTGTAGAATAAGGTGCGGGTGGGTATACTGCATACAATATATTATATTATTTTATGAACAGATGTGCTGGAACGCAATGATGTCTCATGACATTTCCGTAACAACTACATCTTGGTTATCATGTCTGAGACATGAAACATTATTTCTTGTGATGTCCAATTAAGCTCGATTTGTTTAACGAGTATTCTGCTATGATATGCCATTGTGATTGTGGTATTGCATAATGAGAAAATCATACTGTGTTAACTGCAGCAAATTATACATCACAGTAGATTCGGCACGTGAATGTACAAGATGTCATTTTGGAAACAAAATTACACACTAATAAATTGCTCCACGATCTTTTGTTTTGTTCATTCATTCAATACAAATATGTTTGATTGAACGATGCTATGTTTGTCACGTTTACTGGTATAGTGCACGGCTACACTTGTTGTAGCTTTATACAATAATGTTATAAGACTGCCCGAAACTGTCATGGAAAGGAACATACAAGGTGACAATCATGTGCAAATTGTGACAATCATGTGCAAATTGTTACAATCATGTGCAAATATGGCACAATATGGCACAATACCGAAACTGAATGTTTTAAATCGCAGTATCGTAGTTGCACGTAATTTCTGCGTACATCAGAGCACCATATCCCGTTATGGGATGAGTATGTCCGTTTCAGTTCAACCTAAGATCATCCGTGAAGTTGTCGAATCACTACCGGGTCTTTCATCTGGGTCATCGAAATTCTACTGCCACCGAGGCTGTAGGGCGTGTGGCTGGTCTGAGGAGGATATGGGACAAAACAACCAGGGAATGTCTTTGACAGGTGGAATTAATCGCAGTCTCAGTCTCGTCACAGTCCCAGTCTCGATCTCAGTCACATCTCAGTCTAAATCTCCTTACAGTCTCAGTCTTAAACACAATCTCAGCCTCATAACAGTCCCACTTTCAATGTCAGCCTCACCCAAGTCCCAGTCCAAGTCTCAGTCTTAACCTCACCACACTCCCAGTCTAAGCCTTGTCACAGCCCCAGTCCCAACCTTGCATCAGTCTCAGTCTCATCGCAGTCTCAGTCTCTGCTTTGTCACAGTCTCTGCTTTGTCACAGTCTCAAACTCGTCTCAGTCCTAGTCTCAACCTTGCATCTTTCCCAGTCTCAGCCTCATAACAGTCTCAGTCTCAGCTTTGTCACAGTCTCAAACTCGTCTCAGTCCTTGTCCCAGCCTCGTACCCGTCCCAGTCTCAGCCTTGTCCCAGTCCCAGTTTCAGCCTTGCCACAGTCTCAGCCTCGTCACAATCCCAGTGTCAGCGTCGTCACAGTCCCAGTCTCAGGCTCGTCACAGTCTCAGCCTCGTCACAGTCCTCATCAGTGTCCCAGTCATATTCTAGTCACACTGCTACCCTTATGTTCAGTCACAAGTTCAGTCTTCGTCGTTGCTCTTGTCTCCGTCTTCCCGTCACAGCCTCGTCCTACGACCGTCAGAAAGAACATCTGTCTCAACGTCATTTTACACAACAGTAAGTATGATTAAATCCATTCCTGTCTTTGATTACAGGTAACTTTACCTGCCTGTCTGTCGACAAAAGTGGAATCTGTATATAAGCAGTCTCAGTGCGAATACAATGCTGAAGAAAGGTGCCAATAACATTATTGTAGTTTACCGCCTCTTGTTTTCGTCTTATATGTCACAGCAACTGATAACGTAGGCTAAGGGACTTTAAAGATCGAATACACGCCATTAGGACTTAACGAATCCGTGAATGGATTGGTATATTGGCAATATTGTGACTGACTACAGGAACGACAAGAAGAATGTTCATGTTCTTTGCCTCATGTTTCAACGCCGTCGTTGCTTGACGTCTTGCTGAGGCAGACTGGTGATAGATTAACACACTGTTTGAGAGGCATTCTAGAAGTTGTAAGTAATATGAATGGCAAGTCTTTATGGATGATCAACGTTTCGGGATAGATACTTATACCGTTTTTGGGGCGGTGGGGTAGCCTAGTGGTTAAGGCGTTCGCTCGTCACGCCGAAAACCCGGGTTCGATTCCCCACATGGGCACTATGTGTTAAGTCCATTTCTGGTGTCCCCCGCCGTGATATTGCTGGAATATTGCTAAAAGCGGCAAAAAGCTAAACTCACTCACTCACTCACTTATACCGTTTTCAAGCATCTCTCATGTGGTGGTGTGTGGCCCTGTGCATGGAAGTTAAGCAACGTTGGGCGCGGATGGGTGACGGTATTTGGCAGCTTGACTTCTGAGAGTTTTTAGGATTTCAGTCCTGCCCCACAACGAAGCACATGGCACCTCCCCTTAGGCAGGTGAGTCCGTTCAAAACTGAGTCCGTTCACCTAGCAGAAAATGGGTAACCAGTGGGATAAGTCATGTGACTATAACCTTCTAGCGCCTAACAGGCAACTTGGTTTATCCGGGGAAATAATAAACTCTGTCAAAAAAGAAACGCAACCCCTGTATTTTAGAGATTTTGATCTGAAGTTTTAGGACGACACGGCATTTTTATTATTTAAGACAGAAGTCTGAAATTTGGCAGAATAATAACCCAGATGGGCATGTTTAAAATTGTCATTTCAAAAGTCATCTCACAGACACCAGTTTGTCACCAGGGGGGCGTCTTTCTCAGTATCTCGTATGAGCACCACGCGCTGCAATCACTGCACGGCATCTCCTTGGACAAGAACGGATAAGACGCCGGATTCTTTCCTGGGGAATGGCTCTCCACTCCTCCTGCAGTGCAACGGCGAGCTGTTGCAGCGTCTGTGGCGGCGGCTGACGTTGACGTACGCGTCGATCCAGAGTATCCCACAGGTGTTCAATAGGGTTGAGGTCTGGTGATTTAGAGGGTCATGGCAAGACATTGACGTTGGAATTCTGCAGAAAGTTCATTGTTGCACGTGCAGTATGAGGCCGGGCGTTGTCCCGTTGAAAAATCTGTGTCTGTTGGTCAATAATCGGGAGAAGGTGAAGCTCTAACACGTGGTTGATGTAACGTTGGGCTGTCAGGTTCCCTGGAACGATCACCAAGTCTGATTTCTGGTTGTATGAGATGGTTCCCCAAACCATGACGCTTTCTCCGCCAAATCTGTCCACCTGTCGGACGCAGATGGGCGCAAAACGTTTATGACGTCTCCTATACAGACGCTGTCTTCCGTCGTGACGTTGCAAAAGAAAACGTGATTCATCAGAAAACCAGATTCGCCTCCAGTTTTGTAAAGTCCGTATCCTTACGTTGTTGCACCACCTGAGTCGTCGGCGTCGATGTAGGGGGCGTAGTACAGGTCCAACAACTGGTCTACAGGCACGTAAACCCGCTTCTTTCAGACGGTTCCTAATCGTTTGAGCTGACACTCTCCTCAAACCTGGTATTTGTGTTGCACTCACGGTTGGTAGGGCATGCCGATTACGCAGGTGATGGACCCGGATGTACCGATCTTGAAGGGGGGTCGTGATTCTTGGCCTTCCACTTCTCGGGCGATCGTTGGTCAAATTGAAGTTGTTGTAGCGGCTCCAAAGTCGGGATATCGTTGTTTTGTGAACATTTAGGTGCCGTGCAACAGTTCCAAAACTTTCTCCGGCTTGAACACGACCAATGGCGATATTTCGGTCGGCAGCACTCAATCGTGGCATTTTTAACACAGCTTTTCGGCGACAAATGAATGAATATAATACGGAAGCACATGGGCTTTTATACACCCCTACATTAACTGCCATTTTCATGATTTGCATGTGTTTTTTTTGTGCGAAGTCACCATGAGGGTCATTTCATGCGTTGTGACGGAATAAGCAATAAAATACACTTATGCGTACAAATGCAGTTGTTTGGATGGTAATCTTCATTAATTACGTGTATCATTTCAATACATTCGAATAAAATTTAGTTTGGAAGCAATAACTTCATTCAAACGAATTTTTCATATCTGAGGACAGGGGTTGCGTTTCTTTTTTGACAGAGTTTATGTTATGCGCTTTGAGCATACCTTCATGGCGTGGAGAACAATATAAATGTCATTATTATTATCTGTACCGAAACGTCGCTATTGCACAATGAAGAAGTTGATAATCCATAAAGACTTGTCATTCCTAACATTCATTAACACAGAAAGGTCCTAAAAGCCTCGGTTACTTCGTTACTGGTCAATGCTCGCATGATAGAAGGCGTCGGAATGAAGAATGAAGAGTTATGTCACTTTGTAGAGACAGGCTCTGCATTATCGCCCCGGTAACGTATTCTCTACCCTATCAGGTATGTTTCTGAGGCGGGGCGGTGGGGTAGCCTAGTGGTTAAAGCGTTGGCTCGTCACGCCGAAAACCGGGTTCGATTCCCCATATGGGCACAATGTGTTAAGCCCATTTCTGGTGTCCCCCGCCGTGATATTACTGGAATATTGCTAAAAGCGGCGTAAAACTAAACTCAGTCTGTCAGTCGGTGTTTCTGAGGCTAGTGGTAGTTTGCTTGTTCCTTCCACAGCATGCAGCCACACAGCATGCAGCCACACCATCATCAAATACTGTAACTCTATCAACACTTTCTATTTTTATATCACTCTATTCACTATTGCAATGATATAGTGTTAAAGCTCTCAATATATCTTACCCGTGAAGATCCGGGTTAGAATTAATCTTCATGTTCCATGCTTGTCGTAAGACTAACGGGATCGGGTGGTCAGGCTCGCTGACTTGGTTGACACATGTCATTGTCTCCCAATTGCACAGATCGATGTTCATGCTGTTGATCATTGGTGTGGCGTAAACCTAAATTCTCTCACTACCTCCCTTTATATATCTGTTCTAATTTTGAAGTATATAATAGCATACCGTCAACTAGTTCATTTGTTATAATTAGTGTTGGGAATTAGTTAAAATCTTATAATTGATGATTGGTTCATTACATCCGATCAATCATCGAAAATAGTTGGTTAGCGTTATTTATCAAATTGTCTTGGTTATATTTGTTAATGCACACAAAATAAAGAAAAAAACATGTAGTTCTTTCGGTAGTTTTGGCAAATTTCGTGTCTTTAAAGGATAACTAATATGTTAGGAACATAAATTTCCTGGAGTCTTTAAGATAAATTTTAACCATGACTTGGAACGAGCTTGTAGTGCTTATGAAACGCAACAAACAAAACAACCTTGTGATAAATATTGTCAATGCAAACAAGTGTTCCAAAATTGTTTGTGTTCGATTATAACAAAGTGTGATCGATTGCTTGGTCGTTTAGTCATTACGACCAATCTTCGATTATTTCAATCAATTGGACCACCACTAGTTATAATATGTTTTGGCAGTTTGTACTTTCGTTGACAAACTGAAACTTGTGATGATCAGTCAGCCATTTCGTATTAGAGCGCAATGTCATGTTGAACACGAGTACCATGCGTGGAATATGTGTATGAGACTGTATTAGTTTTGTAAGTCAGACATTTCTGAATCAGGGAATATAAATCTTATCCCAATCCTTTCAGAAATGATATGATTGGCCCAAACACCCATGCATCCTTCGACTGACCGGTCATAATTGGCTCAGAGTCGATCGTAAGCAGGTCAGATCGCTCAGGCATAGAGGTATCCTTTCTGAGAGAATGGTTTAATAAGATACCACATTGGAATTTGGAAGAAGCTTCCTAAACAATGAGCTTAGATAAACAAAGAATCGTAATCGCGGCAAATCTGTTTCTCGAACCAATGGTCACAGGATTCTGGCACATCGAAGGGAGGGAACTCTTCACATTGACTCGTAGACCCTCGGGTTATTTAGTCCCCCGTTTCATATGTGACCAGTGTAAGCAACAGTGCGGGACTTCTTGTCCACAAACGGAGTTCCATCACGGGTCAGTTTTGTGGTCAAAATTTGGGAATCGGTATTCACACATCAAACTAAAGGTATCCTAATCATAATAAACTCCATCAGTCGGCTTAGTGGGGGAGTTTGCTAACTAAAGTGACACTTTGTAAGTATATCCAAGCCATATGTTGATATTCAAACCGATGTGACGTGATTATCACACGAAGCGCAATCCGTTCGTGAACTAGTTTGCGTCCTCAAGACGTGATATGAAGTGATGGAACCCAGTTTAAACCTTCGTCCAGTTCTGACCATGAATTTTGTCAAGAGTTTCAATAGCATAAATTATCAACGTGCATCGTCACAAAATGTCTACTAACGTCGGTCAACAAACGCAAACGCAAACGAAATGTACGAGCATCAACTTATCATCTGAGGTTGTCAACCAATCAGACTTCCCAGAGCAGACGGGGCGATATTGTAGCTTATTGGTTAAAGCCTCCGTGCCCGTGGTCAACTCCCCATATGGGTACAAAGTGTGAAGCCCATTTCTGGTGTCCCCAGCCGTGATATTGCTGGAATATGGCTAAGAGCCACGCGAAACCTACCTCGCTCACTCACTCACTCACTCATTGACCTGGGTTAATAAATATATGGACCGGTTTCAATTTGGAGGCGGTCTGGGTTAATAAATATATCGATCTGAATTTGGAGGCGGTCTGAAGAACATCTGAATTTAGCGAGGGCCGATAGGAATTTTGAATTTGATAAATCTGTTATGGTAAATTCAACACCAAACGAGATTTTAAAACAAGAATAAACTGAAAATGTGAGAGCATTTACAAGCAATGTGCGCCATTCTTGTTCATAGCTTTCTCTCAGTCTAAAATGCTGATATCAATTTATCAACATTATATACATTTTTGCTGTTTCTCCCACATTAAGCCAAGTCCAAAAGAGTAAAGAATATTTATGCCTATTTTTTTTATGCCCAGTTTGTTTTACCATTTACAGAGTTTAAAACATATTATAACATGACTTTACAAATCTAGAATCGGGCATTTTTACCAATATTTAACAGTTTTTTTTATGTACACAAATGTACATTGGATAATTCTCCCCTGATTACATGGTTGACATTTAAAAACCGTTTACAACAACACATATGTACAGCTTCGACTTCTATACATGTATCAACTCCCCATATTTCATCTCCATACAAATACATTCGACTAATTCTGGTGTCAAATATCTTAAAAAATATATCATAGAGTCACTCACTCACTTACCCCCCCCCCCCCCACTCACACACACACCACTCACTCACTCACTCACACAACACCATGCAATACAGTATGTAATCGAGTGATGCACGATATCTAGACCACGCTGAGGGTGAAATTTAGTGGGTTCTGAGGGACAGTACTCACCATCTGCAGCCCATAAGCTGAGGGAGGGCAGCAAACACACTAGGGCGACAAAAACTTGCATTCCAATTACGAATATTCTGAAACAATAAAATGAATCATTCCTTATTGAACGTCAGGTATTTCACATTTTGCAAATACCATATTTATGGGGATATTTACTTCTGTATTTCGACCCCACAGTGTTTTTCTCTCAGACAGCCTTTCTACATCCCCGAACCTCGCCTTATCCTACCGCCTGACTAGTAATGGGCAAAGAACTATATAAAGTGAGGCCTCGTCCAACAGATAAAACGTTTATCTATGAAGGAGCAGGAATTAGCTCTGAAACGTCGTATAAAGAATAAAAAGAAGTTGTTGTGTAATGCTACATATAACATTCATTACAGCCCCGTGAAGCTCTATATGTGTAAGGGGCGGTGGGGTAGCCTAGTGGTTAAAGCGTTCGCTCGTCACGCCGAAGACCCGGGTTCGATTCCCCTCAAGTGTGAAGCCCATTTCAGGTGTCCTCCGCCATGATATTGCTGGAATATTGCTAAAAGCGGCGTAAAACCATATTCACTCACTCACTCACTCTATATGTGTAAGCAACGCCTTCGTTACCACCGGTGCCACCAGTGTTGGCGTGGACTGAGTGATATTGCTTTTAGCAATATTCCAGCAATATCACGGCAGGGGACACTAAAAATGGGATTCACACATTGTACCCATGTTGGGAATCGAACCCAGGTGTTCGGTGTGCTGAGCTAACGCTTTAACCATCAGGCTACCCCACCGCCCTTTACGAGGACATTAGAAGGAACGCCATAACGTCAGAATTGGGAACGTTGAAGACCGACTCACGGTGCTATCAGGTAAATTGAGGCTTGTTTGTTTCAACAGACTGAGATCGCAGACAACCAAATATCATCCAATTTGATAAAACTGCAACATGAAAGACGACAGTAAATATAACTCAGACTGGCAAAAAGAAAAAGACTGGGTCAGTTCAACCCAATGCATATCAATGCTCTCGGTTGAACTGACCCCAGTCAAACACCTAAAAAATCGGCTAATGGCTGCCACAGTGCATAGAGTGCTCAGCTAATGCATATCGCTTGAAAGATTGCAATCGTCCTCGTAGGTAAAAGAATTTCATAGTGACCAACAATCTATAGACCCAATATAGACCCAGACTGATAGTATATCGAACAGAGGCAAAGAGTATGCCAAATTCGACTCGATATAGAAAGAGAGTATACCAAATACAGACAAAACAGATACGATGAGATGTGAGTTTAATTTTACGCCGCATTCAGCAATATTCCAGCTATATGGAGGCAGGACCAAACAATCCAGTGATCAACAGCATGAGCATCGATCTACGCAACTGGGATACGACAACATGTGTCAACCAAGTCATAGGTTACTGAAGACAAATTCTAACCCCGATCTTCACGGGTTTGATCAAATGTAGTTTAGTGGGTGAATAACATTTAAAGTCACATCGGCAATATTTCAGCCATACCGTGACTATGAAAAGTAAAGATTAATAAAAAACAGTCTTTAACGATATAAATCATTCAACAAAGGATACTAAAATAACTACACTATCACAGCTTCAGATTTAAAACTAGCAAGTAACCATAAACGACCCAATGCAGACAGAGTACATCAGATATAGACACACAGAGACAGTATACTCAATTTATACAGGCACAATATAGTCAATACAGCATATCCGATATATACAACGTATATCTAGACAAAGTCTATTAAATATAAATGGAATGTATATCCAATATAGACAAATATGTCCAATATAGACAGACATATAGAATGCGTAGAATGGACCGGCAATGTATATGAACTATAGACAGAGACTATATCCAATACAGACAAAGTATGCCCAATATAGACAGACATATAGAATGCGTAGTATAGACCGGCAATGTATATGAACTATAGACAGAGACTATATCCAATACAGACAAAGTATGTCCAATATAGACAGACATATAGAATGCGTAGTATAGACCGGCAATGTATATGAACTATAGACAGAGACTATATCCAATACAGACAAAGTATGTCCAATATAGACAGACATATAGAATGCGTAGTATAGACCGGCAATGTATATGAACTATAGACAGAGACTATATCCAATACAGACAAAGTATGTCCAATATAGACAGACATATAGAATGCGTAGTATAGACCGGCAATGTATATGAACTATAGACAGAGACTATATCCAATACAGACAAACAGATAACAATCAAGCAAAGATACCCAATATAGACAAAGTACACCCAATACAGACAAAGTACAGTTGAGCACCGTTGTGTCGGACTCGGATAATTCGATATCTCGGTTGTCTCGATATAACATCTCGGTCCCGGCAAAATCCTTCATAATTTATCATTATTCAAGCTCTTTTAACTCGATACGCATGTCTCGATATTTCAGATATCTCGATATAATTTCATGATCATGGTCCCAAAAAGCAAACATATCCAAAATCTATATCCAATATAGACGGACAAAGAACACCCAATATAGACAAAGTTTGTCCACTTTAGACAAAGTACGCCTAATATAGACGAAGTACAGCCAATATAGACAAAGAACACCCAACATAGATGAAATAGACACAATATAGACGAAGTACACCCAATATAGACGAAGTACACCCAATATAGACGAAGTACACCCAATATGGACGAAGTACACACAATACAGACGAAGTACACCCAATATAGACGAAGTACACCCAATATAGACGAAGTACACCCACTATTGACAAGTACACACAGTACAGACAGCTATAGAGTGTACCCACAACAGATTGTGTAATCCCAATAGATAGACCAATGCTATTCCAAATATTTTCTTTGAAAGGTGCTGAAAATATGGTATGCAGACTCTGTTCATATTCTGGAAAATGGCCATATCATAAGATCATACTCGAAGACAGATTAAAGTTATATCAATCCTCCCTTACGTGCTTATTAATGTCCAGCCCTCACGATAGATTGGTAATATCTGAAATAGAACACGAAGTGCGTTGCTAGCCTCTCTCTTTAACTCTGAAACATAACCGATGGCGGGGAACAGATAGCTAATTTGTATGCAGTTATCATGACCACCCATGGGATATTAGATTGGCATCAGTTTGATATTCTCAAAACGAATTACGATACATATTTCATACTCAAAATATCGCCAAACACGTTCCGACGACAGATGATCCATGGTATTCTGTTAACACATGCCATCATCAACATTCCTGTTATACTTCCAAAATGGAGCTAAGTCTGAATGTTTAGATATCATACGTTTCTTTTTGTGCAGGGTATGACGTTTAGGATCTGCCATAAACTGGCACCGCACACTGAACTACAATGAAGTCATGTCGTTCATGATGTTGATGTCAGTGGGAAGTTATCTTGAACAAGAGTGAGTTTAGTTTTATGCCGCTTATAGCAATATTCCAGCAATATCACGGCGGGGGATACCATAAATGAGCTTCACACATTGTACCCATGTGGGGAATCGAACCCGGGTCTTTGGCGTGACGAGCGAACGCTTTAACCACTAAGTTACCTTCGTCAACATGATGACTTATGAGTTGTGATAATGAAAAATAATAGTGAAAAGGAATGTCTATAACTAAAATGTGTGTGCAATGCAGATATCCAAATAGTGAAAAGGTATGTTCCTCTCACCATCATCATCATCATCATCATCATCATCATCATCATCATCATCATCATCATCATCAATACACATCAGTGCGGTTTAACGCTGTCTTGAACTATTCATCCCTCTCGATTGTGGGACGTCATCATATGAGCGAAATATTCTCAAGCACTACGTTAAACCCAATTTCACGTCACCTCACCTCGATTGTGGGATTTCCACTTGGCCGGGGATGTTTTTGTGTTCTCACAGTGATCAGGTGTGTACATGTGTGGCTGAATAGGATTAACTTTGATCAGTTTTATATATTATATCAGACAGATGTTGGACGGTATCCGTGAAGATCTTGGTTAATATCGGTCTTCACCAACCCATGCTTGTCGTAAGAGTCGAATAACGGGATCGGGTGGTCAGGCGTGGTGACTTGGATGACACATGTCATCGTGTCCCAATTGCACAGATCGATGCTCATGATGTCAATCACTGGATTGACTCGAGTATTCACAGGCTGGTAACCTGCTGACTGCACGGTTAAACAACTAACAAACAAAGATGTTGAATGAAAGAGCTGATCATCAATATATACCTCAACAAACATACCTAGAACAAGGACTAATTCTTTTAAAACTTTGTCGGTTTGCATGTTCTTTATTACCATGATTTGGGGCGGTGGGGTAGCCTAATGGTTAAAACGTTGGCTCTTCACGCCGAAGACCCGAGTTCGAATCCCCACATGGGCTCAATGTGTGAAGCCCATTTCTGGTGTCCTTTCGCCGTGATGTTGCTGGAATATTGCTAAAAGCGGCGTAAAACCAAACTCAGTCAGTATTACCATGATTTGTCTGAACGTTGTAATAATTTATATGCTAACAAGCTGCTAACTGAAATCTCGAAATGTGGTTATTGAGTTTACAAGTTACTGAAAGAGGATCTCTTAATTTCCTTCAAGGCAGAGATAATAGGCTTCAATATTATGGAAGATACATTTCTAAATATTTTTATTGGGATGGGAAAACTTGACAGCACAAATTCGAAGAAATAAATACTCAAGAAACATAACACTTTATTTTTATCGTGGCCGTTCCTTCACTTCGATATGATGTTTTAGAACCCTCCTTAGGTACACAGGACCGCCTCCGTGGTGTAGTGGTTAGAGGGTCCCCACGGAGAGCGGAACGTCGCGGGTTCGATCCCCAGCCGCGTCATACCAAAAGACGTTAAAATATGGTACTTGTTGGTCCCTGCCTGGCGCTCGGCATTAATGGGTACAACAAGGACTGGTCGGCTAGGAGTCAGTATAATGTGTCTGAGTGGGATATTCATTCTTCACTGCGGCATGGTATCTCAGTGGGCTAGCACTATAAAACCAGCTTAAGTCTGGGCTAGTACAAGCAGC